TTAGAGGCAGCCACCCAGCTGAACTTTCCCAGAGTTCCCCTCTAAAGAACTTTAAAATAATGCCTCAAATTGAATTTTGGAGCAAGAGAGCCAACAAAGGGTTGGGGTCAGACATTTTTTCTAGTGTAATGAAATTTAGCAGGTCCACAGGAGAGGTCTGTGACACCAGGAGGGGGGCCTGTCCAGAGCCCCCCTATATGGCCATGGCAGTAGTGGCCATAGTAGGAGCAGCAGCTTCAAGAGCTGTCAGCCTAGAGTTGGTAAGGGGATCAGACATCTGGTCAGAAAGAGATTACAGGGGGATGCTTTTCTGCCACTGGGTACAGCTGGCACTGACTGGCAACTCTACTGCCAATATGCAGTTCTGAGTTGCAGTTCTAGGGCAGAGAGGAGTGCTGGTGGTTGGTTGCAAGGAATCAGGGGCCCCAGTTATAGTTCTGAGGAAAAGAGGAGCACTTGTGGCTATAAGGGACCATGGGCCCCTCCTGGGTAAAGACCAGAGCACAGACCAAGAGAGCAGTGACCATACCTCTTGGTCAGCATTGAAAACTTGTAGACCTCCAAAATTAGCTTTGAAAACAACATCATGAAAAAGCCTAAAGCTTGGGACAGTGCCTCCCCATTCCAAGATGAGCAGAACCCAACTTTAACATGAAGTCCAGAGTCAAGAAATAGGCTGGAAAAATAGGCAAACAACAACACAACAGAGAATTTGACCATAAAAACCTACCACAGTGGCAGGGAACACCAAAACATAAAACCAGAGGAGGACAACAATGTGGAAACTGCTACCAAAAAACCTCAAAGAAAAATGCTAATTGGACCCAAACCCTAGAAGAATTCCTGGAAGAGTTAAAGAAAGAGCTAAGAATGGTAGAGGAAAAATTGGGAAAAGAAATGAGAATGATGCAAGAAAATTATGAAAAGAGAATTAACAGCTTGATAAAAGAGATGCAAAAAATACTACAAGGGACAACACCTTAAAAAGCAGAATTGGCCAAATGGAAAAAGAGATACAAAATCTCACTGAAGAAAATAATTCCTTAAAAATTAGAATTGGGCAAGTGGAAGCTAATGACTGCATGAGACATCAAGAAACAATAAAACAAAATCAAACAATGAAAAAATAGAAGGAAATGTGAAACAGCTCATTGGGAAAATAAATGACCTAGAGAATAAGTTGAGGAGAGATAATTTAAGAATTATTGAACTACCTGAAAGCCATGATCAAAGAAAGAGCCTAGAAATCATATTTCAAGAAACTATAAAGGAAAACTGCCTTGATATCTTAGATCCAGATGCTAAAATAAAAATTGAAAATATCCACTGATCACCTTCTGAAAGAAATTCCAAAATATAAACTCCCAGGAATATTATAGCCAAATTCCAGACAAAGATCAAAGAGAAAATATTTCAAGCAGCCAGAAAAAAAAACCAATTCAAATATCACAGAGCCACAGTCAGAATCACATAAGATTTAGCAGCTTCCACATTAAAGGAGAAGAGGGCTTGGAATATGATATTCTAGAAGGCAAAGGAACTAGGATTATAACCAAGAATAACTTACACAGCAAAACAGTGTAATCCTTCAGGAGAAAAATGTGTATTTAATTAAATAGAGGACTTTCAAGCATTATTGATAAAAAGATTAGGGCTGAATAGAAAATTTAACATTCAAACACAAGACTCAAGAGGAACATAAAAAGGTAAACAGGAAAGAGTAATTATAAGGGACTCAATAAATGTAAAATATTCACATTCCTTTATGGGAAGATGATACATGTAACTTCTAAGAACTTTATCATTAACTTTATCAAAGGAGTTTACATAGACAGAGGGCATGAGTGTGAGTCGATTATGTTGGAATGATATCCAAAAAAAAAAAATGAAGGGGTAAGAAAGAGAAATGCACTTGGAGGAGGGGGAAGGGAGAAGTAGAATGGGAAATTTTTATCACTTAAGAATTAATAATAATAATAATAATAATAACTGTGAATTTGAATGGGATGAACTCACCCACAAAATGGAAGCAGATAGCAGAGTGGATTAGAAACCAGAATTCAATGATAACTTATTTACAACAGACACATTTGAAACAGATGGACATACACAGAGTTAAAATAAAGCACTGGAGCAGAATCTAGTATGCTTCAGCCGAAATAAAAAAGGCAGGGGTAACAATCATGATCTCAGACAAAGCAAAAGCAAAAATAGCCCTAATTAAAAGAGATAATCAGGGAAATTATGCTAAAAAGTGACACAAACAATGAAGTAATATTAAAAAAATTATGACAAATTTATTGGATAAAGTCCTCATTTCTCAAATATATATTGAGTATAGAACTGAGTCAACTTTATAAAAATTAGAACCATTTCTCAATTGATAAATGGTCAAAGGATATAATCAGTAGTTTTCAGAAGAAGAAATAAAAGTCATATGAATATAGTTATATGAAAAAATACTCTAAATCACCATTGATTAGGGAAATACCACCTCATATCTATCAGAAATGACAAATGATGGAGGACATAAAAGAAAGTGGGCACATTAATGAACTGCTGGAAGAGCAGTGAACTGGCCCAACTATTCTGGAGGATAATTTGGAACTAGCCCAAATAAAAAATTTTTTTTTTGGACACAGCAATACCACTACTAGGTTTGTATCCTAGAGAGATCAAAGAAAAAAGAAAAAGACCTATATGTATGAAAATATTTACTTAGTTTTTGCTTTTGCTAGTTTAGGTAGGTATCCACCATATTTGTGACATATAAGGAATTTGGTAGGACTTTTTTTTTTATTTGCATATTTTCCCAAATAGTTTATGTAGTATTGGAATTAAATGTTTTTTAAGTGTTTAGTAGAATTCATTTCTGACTCTATCTGTTCCTGGGGACTTTTTCTTTGAGAGCTCATTGATGGCATGTTCAATATATTTTTCTGAGATGAGGTTATTTAAGTATTCTATTTCCTCTTCTGTTAATCTGGGCAATTTATATCTTTGTAAATCCATTTCACTTAAATTGTCAGATTTATTGGCATATAACTGGGCAAAATAGCTCCTAATAATTGCTTTAATTTTCTCTTCATTGGTTTTAACTCACCTTTTTCATTTTTGATACTGGTAATTTGGTTTTATTCTTTTTTTTAAAATCAAATTAACCAGTGGTTTATCTATTTTATTGTTTTTTTCGTAAAACCAGATCTTTAATTTATTAGTTCAATGATTTTCTTTCCATTTTATCAATCTCTCCTTTGATTTTCAGGATTTCCAATTTGATGTTTAATTGGGGATTTGTAATTTGTTCTTTTTCTAATTTTTTTCTAGTTGCATTCCCAACTCATTGATTTGTTCTTTCTCTATTTTATTAATGTAAACATCTAGAGATAAAAATTTCTCCTAAGTACTGCTTTGACTGCATCCCATAAATTTTGTCTCATTGTTGTCATTCTCTTTAATGAAATTATTGTTTCTATGATTTTTCTTTGACCCATTCATTCTTTAGGATTAGACTAATTTAGTTTCCAATTAATTTTTAATCTATCTCTTCACAGCCCTTTATTGATGTAATTTTTATTGCATTGTGATCTGAAAAAGATGCATTTAATATTTCTAGAACTTTTTTTGCATTTAGTTGTGAGGTTTTTATGCCCTAATATGTGGTCAATTTTGTGTAGGTGCCATGTACTGCTGTGAAAAAGGTATATCCTTTGTACTTCCATTAAAATTTTTTTAGAGGTCTATCATATCTAACTTTTGTAAAATTCTATTCATCCCCCTAACTCTTCTTATTTTTTTTTTTGTTAGATTTATCTAGTTCTGAGAGGGTAAAGTTGCAGTTTCCCCACTAACATAGTTTTTACTATTTCCTCCTGTAACATATTTAACTTTTTCTTTAAGAATTTGGATGCTATACCATTTGGTGCATATATGTTTAGCATTGATATTACTTCATTGTCTATAGTACCTTTTAGCAAGATGTACTTTCCTTGCTTATCTCTTTTAATTAGGGCTATTTTTGCTTTTGCTTTGTCTGAGATCATAATTGTTACCCCTGCTTTTTTTTTTTTACATCAACTGAAGCATAACAGATTCTACTCAAGCCCCTTACCTTTACTCTGTGTGTGTCTCTGCTCCAAGTGTGTTTCTTGTAAACAACATATTTTAGGATTCTAGTTTTTCATCCACTCTGCTCTCCACTTCTGTTTTATGAATGAGTTTATCCCATTCACATTCACAGTTATGATTCCTAATTGTATATTTCCCTCCATCTTATTTTCCCATTTATCTCTCTCTCTCTCTCTCTTGCTCTCTTTTTCTCTCTCTCTTCCTCCTCCTCCTCCTCCTGTTTTACCGTATTTCTCCTCCTCACAAATATTTTGCTTCTGACCACTACATCCCCCAATTCACCCTCCCTGATATCAGCCCTCCCCCTTCTCTTACCTTCTTTCCCTTCTACTTCCCTGCAGAGTAATATAGGTTTCTATACCTAACTGAGTATGTATGTTATTCACTCTTTCAGCCAATCCCACATACAAAAAAGCAGGGATCACCCAGTTTTTAAAAGTGTGTGGCATATACAATAAATATACAAACAAATATATATATATACATAATATATACCATATATACAATAAATATACAAATAAAAATTGTATAAGAATAGAATTTATAAAAAATATAAATATAAGACACTATAAAAATAAATGCAAAGAATTAGGTAAAGGCAGTTAGAGTTTTAAGACCTATGATTCATGCATCATAGGGAGCATGTTGCCACAAATACAAGAATATTATATGTGTTAGATCATTTATGGTGCTGCTTGGTTGTCACTCTTAACTTTTTTGAGAAGCAGCCAATGATTTCTCTAGTATTTATTATTAAGGTTACATGTTTCACCATAGGTCAAAGACCATCTCCCACATAAGAAAGGAGACTATATCTAAATGAGACCCAATACACTAATATTCATATTTCTTTTTTTTATACCTCAATACAGGAAGCATTGTCCTTAATTAAGAAGACTGAATCAGAGCAAAGTGCCCTGTACTCATATCAGAAGGATGCAGAGGATGGTAAACTACTCTGTGGCAAAGTTCCTTTTCCTCCCATACTGATTTCTAGAACTCATTGTTCGGTGACATTTAAACCTGCTCCATTTGTTTGCGGGAAAAAGGTAATTCTTTCACCGTAAATTTATAGTACGGTACGGATGAGAGAACTATCAGTGACTGTAATGAAGGTTATTTCAGCGGTATTTATTTGATTGTTCTCGGGATAGTCTTGAATATATCTGAAAATATCCCACTTTCTCTTTTTTTTTAGTCACATTGAGTAGGCACAACATTTTTATCCTATATCTTGTTTTCTTTATAATACTAATTTTTTCCCATGGTATTTAGGGTTGCTGCTTTCCTGACTGACCAGACCCAGAAATATGGGGGGCATTTGAGGAATAGATAAAGTTAGGTCCCCACATAACTATGACATATCCTTTGTTAAATATGTGAACACACAGGCTTATGAAAGTTTGTGGAGGGGAGCTGTGGATCCAGTCTTTTGGTGAAGGTTGCCCATGGCTCAAAAAGTGAACAGCCATCATTGTGGCATCAGGCAATGCATGGCTGTCCAGTTCCCAAAGTTTTTCCAACAAACAAAAATTTGTTGATTCTAGAGAATATCAACTCCAACTGTTTTGACTCAAACCCAGATCTTCCTGGGTTCCAGGCCATTCTGCCTCTTTCCAGGTTTTGCTGAATACAAATATTTGAGATACTCAAGATTTGGGCTACTCACTTCTAAATGAGATGTTGGGTTATGTTTATATGATACTAAACATCTGGTTCAAAACTGAAAATACAATTCCTCTTTAATATTGTACAATAAAAGGGCAGAACAATTTACCTGATAGCGCAGCACAAGGCACTGTAGATTTATTTGCATGTAGTTTGACTTTTCCCTTAGTTCTCAGGTTCTGACTCGTTACTTCTATATTGCCCCATTCCCTTCTCTCTCAGCAGATGATTTTGCTTTCTAATTTACTGAGAAAAACGTCTTTAGGTGATAAGGCTCCTCATTTTTTCTGTTTTATATCTTAAAACCTCTCCAAATCACCAGCCTTCTCCTCTGATTGGATGATGAGGTGGTCATTCTTGCTGAGACCAATATTTCTCCTTATGCTCTGAATTCTATCCTTTCCTGCCATTTTCATCAGTTTTCCCCATTGATTGTTCTCCCCTTTCTCCTAACTTTCTCTCTCTTCATCTACTTCTTGGTTCCTTACCCTTCCCCTACTCCACAAATGTATTTGATATTTCAGCCAAATTGGACTTGGACCCAACATGCCCTCTCTTCTGCATCCATTCCTTTGCACATGGTGTCCACCATGGTTGGTAAATGCTCCTTTCTTAGCTCTGCCTTTTCAACTTCCTTATTTTCTTTTGAGGCTCAGCTCATGTACCACTTCTTCTGTGAAACCTTCTCACTGGGGTGGTAATAGTATTCTGTGCCTCTCTGAATATTCCTAGAGATCTCTGGATTTCTTCTTTCACCCCGGCACTCCCTACTTTGTCTTGTAATTATCTACGTGTTTATCACATTGTCCCCAGTGGAAAGTAAGGCTCTTAAAAGCCAAGGGTCTTTTCTTTTGTTTTGTTGCATTACTATCACCTTAGATATAGTAGACTCTTGACAAATAAATGTTGGTTGAATTGAATTGAAATGAATGTGTTTAATAATAATGGGGCTCAACTATAGTTTGAAATACTATATATTTTGAATATACTGAATTTTGAATACTGTATCCAGGAAATTGGCTTATTTTTAAAGTTTTCATTTATATGTTTATGTTGGATCTGTTTAATTTTAGTCATTTCATTGTGATAGGCAGCATAGCATAATTATTCAATCAACAAGCATTTATTAAGCTCCACTATGTGCTAGCTACTAGGCTAGGTGCTGGGTTTATCAAGACAGAAATGACAAAGGCCCTATTCAAAGTGCTTGAGTTTCCTCGGAGGGGAAGGGTGGGAGAAAACACTGGATTAGGCTTTGAAGATCTCCAACATTTTACTGGTGGTATGACTTTGGAATGGTCACAGCCTCACTGAGCCTCAGTCACCACATCTTTAAAACAAAGAAGTTAAAGTAGTTGATGCCTAACGTCACTCAAATCTCTTTAAATCCTAGCTTTCTAATCTGTGCAGAATGGGTAACAATCTTTACCTTCACCTCTGCCTTATAGATTGTGAAAGTGCATGTAAATGTGAGTCATTATGTATCATTATATTTTAGCTTCAGGATACTTGGAAAGCAGAGAACGTAAGTCTCTAATGTTTAACCTTTACTTTTGAGAACTAGCATCTAATACTTTATTTTATGTCCACCAATGCTACATAAAATATTATAAAAATGCCACAGAAAATATTAGTCTTTGGCTACAGCACTAGGTGGTGCTATGTGTTTACTTAAGTAGAGGATTTTCATAATTTAAGAATTCAGCCACTGGAAAAAATCTTACCAAAATGTCTTTTTAAGGCACTTTATTTTTCAAAATAAAAAATTTTAGGGAATTAAAATTTCTAGAATTATCTATGGGAATTAATACTTCTTGGTTTTTTTTTAAAGGTGACATGGCATTTAAAAATTCTCCAAATACACTGATTATATGCTATTTTTATAGTTAGAACTACTTTGTGTTATTTTCAATAGACTTTATTTAAATAAATAGGCTTTATTTAAATAAAACTTGAAAATTTGTTTTTCAAAGACTTTAATTCTAAAATTCTGGATTTTAGCTTTTTAAAAATTTAAACTTTGGGCAATAATGACCTAACCTGTTAATGATACCAACCTTTAAGTTTTCTGTATGAAAACTGGGGAACTGAGTTTCAAAAATCTCATTTTTCCACACACTATATCCCAGCTCTTTTAATCAGTCTTCTGCCCCTAGAGACCTTGTGTCTTTTCATCTAGGCTTCAGGTGTTGCCATTGGGACTGTTTAAGATGTGCTGGAGATGAGGGTGGATTGGAGAGGAGATGCAGACACAAATGCCAGATCACTGCTCAACCTTCTCAGACATCACCAATCACCATGTTTTCCCTCTGTCTGCCTTTCCCTGGGTCCCTTTCATCTACTGCCTAATAGGAGGTGGGGGAGAAATGGGAAATTAGGCATAGTGATACCTAAGGACAAGGTGGCTTATAAGACTATTCCTCAGGTCTCATATTTTAACACTACTATGTTAGATAACACATTTGATTTCAGATAAAACCTGTCCCCCTTGTTGACATCTTGGTAGAGGTATTAACATTTAAATGTCAAGGTAGAGCTTAAATAACCTCTTAGAAAACCAGAACCTAGTTGAGTCATAGTAGCAGGCTAGCACTAAATCTGTTATTTTGCCTAAGAATTAATTGAGATATTTTGTAAATTGTTTGTCTTTTACTGTTATAAACTTAAAATTCATTGAGAAATTTGATGACATGCTTATTCAGAAAGTAATTCCTTCTTGATGCAATGAGATGTGACAAGCTAAATACCTTTTTTAGATTGCACATGATGAGGCTGTCTTTTTCTTCTGAAAGGTCGATTGGTACACCATTTTGGGATGTCAGATGGGAACAGGTATTGGAAAAGTAAGGTTGAACAGCCATTGTCTTTCAAACTCTGGACAACCAGTAAGTCAAAGTCACCACTTGTCAATGGCATATATTTTTCCTAAAATTGCCTAATTAGTACAGATTATTTTGTTTTTCTTAAATAAGAATGATGTTTACTGTTTGCTTCAGGGAATCTGTTGAATTGTGACTTGAAATATAACTAATCACAGGGGCAGCTAGGTGGTGCAGTGGATAGAGCTCCGGCCTTGGAGTCAGGAGGACCTGAGGTCAAATGTGAACTTAGACACATGACACTTACTAGCTGTGTGATCCTGGGCAAGTCACTTAACCCTGATTGTCTCACCAAAAGGCAAAAAAAAAAAAAAAAAAGAAATATTACTAATCTCCCATTGCTCAGGGTGTCCCCAAAATCATAGTTTTAAACTATTAAAGGCCAAAACTGCATTAAATTTTTGAGACACCCTGTATTTTACTGGGGATAAAAAATGTGAGTTTTTTTGAGGGGTAATTTATTGAATTACTTTTTTAAAATAATGTGGATGTTATCTTAATGCAACTAAGTAATCTGATATGTTATTTGTTAATAGGTGCCTGCTAATGATAAAACCCTTTTAGAAGTTGTTGGTTTAGAGCCCAATGAAAAATACATATTTGCAGTTGCTGCTTATGGCTCTGATGGAGAACTTATTGGGGAGGCAATTGGAGAGACGTCAAAGCCAGTTCTGGTTTACACGCCGCTTTCTACAGTTACTACTCGTTTATATCTGACGGAGGTAGGACAGGTTTTAAGCTGTGAAACATTGTCTGTCTGTCTGTCTCTCTCTCCCCATTCCAGTTGTTCTTTTTCTTAATATTTTAGTTTCTGATTAAAAAAAAAACACAGCAGATAACCAAAATAGTCAATAGTTGGTAAATATTTATTGAACACCTACTATGTACCAGACACTCTGCTAAGCACTAGGGAAACAAGTATGGGGGAAAAAAAGATAGTCCCTGCCCCCAAAGAACTTACAATCTAATGGGGGAAGATAATACATAAAAGGAAACCGAAAACGGGCAGGGAGGAAGAAGGTACCTGTTGTGGGTCCAGGATAGAGAAGTGAGATAAGTCCCAGAGGAGTGTAGCCAGGTGAGAAATGAGATGTCTGAGCTAAGCTCTGTTCTTAAATGGAGGTCTGCAGTTCATGGCCCCATCCTCCAGTAAGAAACACAGAGGACAGTGATAAGGTTGAGTACCAAGGCTGAGGAGATCTTACAGGATGAGATTATCCCAATGATAAGCTTCCTAGGGCATGATGGGGAAGACAGTCAGAGAAATCTCAAGATCAGTGCAGCCAGGGTGAGAAATAAGGAGATAACAGACTGCAAAACTAGGAATCTACTAAGAATTCACCATGATACAAATAGAAAATGAATAAAAACTAAACCCATCCAAATAATTTTAAGGTTCCCTCTTTTCATAGGGAGTAGAACTAGGGACTGAATCCATAATTTCATGGGTAGAAGGTACTCCCATAAGAGGACAATTCCTTTTTATCAATACCCTCTCTGCAACTTAAGAGTCTTAGCTGTCAAGGGCAATGAGAGATTCGGTGACTTGCTTAAGGTCACACGGTCAGTATGAGTCAGAGGTGAACAATTCCTTATATGAATGATTCAAATCTTCCCTTTTCTAAATTGTAAATTTTTCTTACTTTGTGTTTTAGATGGGCAAATTTCAAAAGCTTTAGGTTTAGAGCAAGACATAAAAGCATGTAAATTCCTCTTTTTTCCCCTACAAATGAATTTTCTATAAAGCCCAACTCTGAAGCTTCATTGTGACACAGAGACAATTGCAGTTTCTTGAAGGCTTTGTGAGCTTGTCAGGTCCTACCACTTTGGAAAGTAGATATGGCCAGAGACAGACTTGTTTGAAGCTGGCTCAATCTGTCAGGATTCATGCCTAGAGAGATGACCACAGGAAAATGACTTTTTTTTTTTAGTGTATAGTAACTCATGGTTGTGATTTCTGGCAATGGGAAAGCTAGCCATCCCAATGAAATCAAAACTCTTCTGCTGTCTTGCCATATTCAGATTGAAGATAAATATTGTTTTAGGCTTCTGCTTACTTGGTTTTAATCAGGTAATTTCCATCTCAGGCAATATCTTATCTTTTGCAGCTTGTGCCAAGGCTGTTCATACTTTTTAATAGCATTCATAGAATATTGAAGAAAGTAGTCTGATTCTTCAGTTTTCTTCTTTCTTTTTAAAAATCAAATTATCCAGTGGTTAATTTTAGTTTTCATAAAACTAGTTTTTAGTTTTATTCAATGGAGTTTTTACTTTCAATTTTATTGATCTCTCCTTTGATTTTCAGGATTTCTTTTTTGTGTTTAAATGGAGATTTTTAATTTGTTGTTTTTCTATTTTTTTTAGTTGCAAGTTGTCATTATCAGTAATGAAATTATTGATTGTTTCTATGATTTGTTCTTTGAAACACACCCTTTTTTTTGCTAAATATCAATTTTTATAGTACCATAAGTAGTGTTTGTGACAGACATGTATTATTAGAAAGTTTCAAGTTACTTAAACAGGAGAGTGGAGAACATGAAGCCAGGCCTAAGCTACTGTACTTGTGGCCATATGTGACTTCTTTCTTACTTCTGGGCCATGGGCAAGTCACTCCAAACCTTTCTGAGACCCAGTTGCCTTGGGTTTTGTTTCTGCATCTATCATTGGCGAATGAAGATACCATCTTCAGGATGTTCAGTGTCATCCATTTCATACATATATGAGGCTGCTGTTGCAAGTGTGGTCACATCATTACTGAAAGCAAGTGATGTTATGCTAGTGGGATACTGATGGAATTGGCACTATCGTTTCTTGTTGAATGGATCCTAAATATTAACAAATCCATCAGATCCACCTGTAGCTAATGTGTTGTGAATGTTGTGAAAGGAAATGGCATTGACAGGATAAATCTGCTCAATATTATTTTCTTTTAGTCTGTGACATTTGAATGCATATTTCTTCTTCTGTACCTCAGGACTTTGGTCCAAATATTCAACTACCACTCGGCCTTCAACACTGCTTGTTTGGAAATGCTCGTATGCAACGAGTCTGGTATTTCAGACTAAACTGTCTTCTCTGCTGCACATAGCCCATATTCCTCAAGTCCCATGCCAACACTCTCCTACCAGTTGTCCCCACAATTAATCTGTCTCCAGACACAGAGAGTGTGTAAACCTTTTCTGGTTGAGAAAATGTTCCTGTATTACAAGCAGTTCTGGAATCCCACAATTTAACTGTTTGATCTCAACTTCCAGTAACCATAACATTCACTTCTGGACAATATTCAACACATCTAATAGGTACATCATGGGTTCCAACAAGGTTTTCTTGATCAGCATTCCAATCGTATATTTTCAACTGGTGATCCAATCCCCCATTCCAAGCATGTGTTGGATCATAGAAAGCACAGTTGAGGATGGCGCCAGTGTGTTGGTATTTGAGATGCATGGCGTTGGCAGGGTTAGAGTCGGACCAAAGTGTCCCAGGAAGAGACCAGCAGGAACTGGGAGGTGTTGGAGCTGAACTTCACCAAGGAGAAGGTTCTGGAGGCTGGTTCAACTTGAACTCATTAGACCTGGTTATCTCATCATCTTCTCGCAGGCCACCATCCATTGCACCTTGATGCTTTCTTCCTTAGTGCTCCCTTTTTGAATCACATGTTTTTTAGGATTAGATTATTTAGTTTCTAATTAATTTTTAATCTATGCTTCAAAGGCCCTTTATTGAATGTAATTTTTATTGCATTATGGTTCAAAAAGGATGCATTTAACATATATAATAAATGCTTTTGGCATTTGTTTGTCAGGTTTTTATGCCTTAATACATGGTCAATTTTTGTAAAGGTTCCATAGACATCTAAGATTAGGTATTCTCCTTTCTATTTCCATTCAGTAGTCTTCTGAGTTCTAACATATCTAACTTTTCTAAAATTCTACTTATTAGTCTAATTCTTTAGCAGCAAACACTGACAGCATTACTATAAAGATAAAAATAGAATTAAATCAGTATGTAGAGATTCTGTGAAGAGGAATATCTAAAGAAGAAACTCTCTGCAATTAAGTGAATGTTACAAAGGATTGAGAGGTGAAAGGACCTTAGGGATTTTGCAGTCAACTTTCTAATTTTATTAATGAGGCAATTAAAGTCAAGAGAGTTCAAATGATGTACTTGAGGGCTATACAGACTTTGAACCCAGGTCCTCTGACTTCAGAACCCACTATGTCACACACTTTCTCTTCAGCTTGAAACTATATTGGATCTTGTTTTCTTAGTATTACATCTTAATTACTCTTTCCCACTTTCTTCCCCTTCCCCCAAATGTCTTCTAGGTATATGTATACTGATGACATCACTAACTAATATAAATCTGATCTCAAAGGGGGAAAAAGGAGGTTTGTGATTCTACCAGTACAAGATTTATTTGGTTTTCAGTCTGTTAATTATGTTGATGTGGAATATTATTCTTATTTCTTCATGTTTTCAGCTTGCTCTGTTCTAAAAATATTTTCCACCCAAGTTGAATAGCTCACAAATTAAAATTATGACATATTTGATACCAAATATCTGTCTTAAAATTGCAGAGATAGCTTTCCAGGGATTCTTTCAACACCAGTTCGGATTGGTTGACCAGTGATTTTCTTTGTTTGGGTATCATCTCTGCAATCTTTACACAGCCCTCTATTTGGTGGAAGAAAATTATTTGGTAGGAAACACAGTTTTTTTGGTTGTTGTTGTTGTTGTTTTTTTTTTTTTTTGGTCAAGACCAATTCTTCTGTAGGCAATGATTGCTCTCCTGGTCTTCTTTGCCTGATTCTTCAAAGGAAATTATCTCCTGCAGTCCAAGGTCTGCCAGGAAGTAAATTGATGTTAGATATTATTAGCACAGCACTGGGCTTGCAGTTGGAGATTATTTTTCTGCTTTGCACTAACAAATTGAGAACACCATAATTTGATAGGTGACTGGGTTCACTTTTTACTACTCTTTAGTAAACTGCTCCACATCGAAACCAAATTGAGGTCTTTTTGATTTAGCAATAGAAGGATACTTTAGAAGTTGCTACCATTTCTATTTCTTAGGATTGATCATTTCTCTGGTACTTGTTTGAAGGTAACATTAGTGTTTTAGTTTCCATTTTCAGTCACTCAGAGAGATCTATAGTCTCATTATTTGGTCATTCTCTCCAGTGGCACACATCACAACTTATTCATGACTGCCCAACTGTGTGACTCTTGTCTATGCCTTCCCCAAAGTTCACCCTAAAAAGGTGATCCACTATAGACTATTGTGAAAACCTGGCTATTCCCTACTAACACTCTCATTGAGGTTCTCCTTTGTTCACATGTAGGTAACTGTCATCAAGATTTTCTTTATGGAGAAGGAAAGTAGGTATATAGGAGAGTAGTTCCTAATACTGTTTCAGCTGTCTTTTGGGGGGTGGGGTGTGACATTAATAAGGTCTGATCTTAGTTTTTTCAGGTCTTTTGATTCTTTCTCTTCTTCAGCTACTTGATGAATTAATCCCTCAAAAACCTGACAATTATATTGCTTCCAACATGATCTTCTCTGAGTATACTTGAAAAATTCCAGTTGCTGTCCTCAGATTTGTTTTCTCTAATGCCATTTTTACTTCTATAAACACCTCTGGGGCCATGGTGTTAGAGTTCAGGTGTGGTGGCACTAAAGATTTTTATAGATCTTTTCCATTTTTCTTCTGTTTATCATCCCTCCATTTTTGTCCTTAAGTATCCTTGGGATGATTTTCTTATTTGGATCCCTTGCTAAATTTTTTAAAAGCTGCTTTTCTCTGATTCTTGAAGCAATACTCCTTATAATCATCTTTTATCTTTATAAGATTTTACAAACAAGTTTACATTCTAAACCAGTGGTTGGCTTTAGCCACCATCTTGCTTCTCTTGGCAAGTAAATTATGTGTTTTCTGACTAAGGTTATTTTAAGGCTCTTTTGTTCTCCTTTTCATGGGAGTTGTTGTACATTGGTTAATCCTTTCTGTGAAATTTCTACTGTCCATTTCCCTTTCTTTTTTCATTTTAGCAACTTAAAAATTAGCTCATTGGCATCAATTCCATAGTAGCATTAGCGTTCATATTTTACCAATTCTTAATGGCTGTCATTACCTTTCAGAGTTAATTTCACATTTTTTCTCAGTATTAACTGATGGCTTTTAGGAAAGTCAGGTGATTCTTCATCAGATTTTATCTAAAGTGCTTCTCTGTTTGTCTTAAGAGTGACTAATTAGTGCAATCCTGGAAATTGTTAAGGAGCTTTTTATGAACTGTACAGTTGCTCTGCATTTCCTTTTATTGCCCCCTTTTCTGTCTCCATTTCTCTTTAGCTTTATTCTTCAGGTCAAGGGCATAATTTTATGTTTCTCCATTATAAACACAATTCTATGGTGGCTGAACAATAGGATGTAAAAAGTAGGCAATTGAAAATGTAGCCTTGGCTCTACATAGTAAGATCTTAGATAAATAGTAAAATCAGACACAATCAGAAATGTGGTATTAAAAAGAACATTGGCTCTACAGTTAGAAGAGATGGGTTCAAAACCCACCTCGGGTATTGCTACCTGTATGACCTTGGTCACATCATGTAACCTCTCTAGGTCTCAGTTTTCTCACATGTAAAATAATGGAGTTGGATTGAATGATTTCTGACACCTTCTAGATCTGAGTTATATAAAATGATGTAGTGTCAGTTTATCTGTGAAATAAAGCTAATTCTATGTCTTGTACTTTAGTGTTAGCAAAGTATGTGCTAAAGTCCATCAGGGTATAATGTTATTCTTATGGATAAAATAGAGTGCTAAAGTCAAGGCCAATGAATGTTTACCATGAGGTGGATTCAGAACTGGTTGAATGGCAGGAGACAAAGAAGAGTCATTAATAGTTCAATGTTACTTTGTAAGAAACTCTTAAAGGCATGGAGAATGCCTTAGCTCTGTCCTTCATCCTAGGCTCTTTCAAAGCCCAAGATGATATATGCTTATCAAATTTGTAGATGATACAAAGCTAGGAGAGATGTAGCTAACAAATTGGATGACAGAGTCAGGATCCAGAAAGAATTTGATAGACTTAAAGATTGGGCTGAATCTGTTAAGATGATATTTCATAGGGATAGAGGTTGCCTTTGACGTATATCGTAATATCTGGAAGAGAGGAAGGATGGGGGGGTGGAGATAAGACAAATTTGCAGATGACACAAAGCTAAGAGAGAAATAGCTACCATCTGGGGTGTCCGTGGAAATTGTTTCCTCTTAAAAAGAGTTCATACTCAGAAAGGTTTGGGGCCAATGGGGCATAAGCAGCTATGAATGCCAGAAACCAGGAGTTGTAGCAGACTGCTGACCATGGTGCTGAAACATTTAGAGACTAAGGTGTTCTGAGGCCTAGGTACCCCAGGAAAGTTAATTGCCTCAGATTCACATTGGTGATTCCTGAGGGCTACTTTTAGACAGGACAGTGGCTCCACCTCTCCAGGCCAGTTGGCAGTCAAGTGCTACTTATATGAACCAACTAGTATTAGTTAGCGTAGGATAACCTCATCTCAGTGTAGTGAAGGTTATTGAAGAGTTTTGAGGCTCCAGTAGCTTTGACTGAAGAGCACAAGTCATTACAAATTTAGCTCTATGAGGAACCCTGGCTTCACAACATTTGGTTATTTGGTCTTTCATTTGCTGGGTTGAGATATCTGTGAGTCTGGTCCTTGGCTGGCTTAGCATAGACATGCTATATAGTCTGTGGATGCTGGAGCGCATGGTCTTCTTCTGAGTTGCAGGTGATCTGTGTGTGCTATTCAAAACTATAAGGCATTGGGGTTTGGTCCTGCTTAAGCCACAGTAGGTTTCATTGACTGCAAAGGAAAGTGGATTAAAGTTGAGAAAGTTTCTAGATGCTTATCTGGGATATACTGTCTGGGGCCCTACCCAAGTAGTAATGGGATTAGAATGTCATGGGGAAGTGGATATGGGGATATGGTGATTACTCCAAGTGCTAAACATAAGGCATATTGTGTCCCTTCTTAGCTTTTCTCTTTCATTCTTTTCTCTTTTCAGCTCTTTTTCCTTTGTTGTATGAAAGCCCCTAAAGTGTCAGTCAGAGCCAGGGAAGAATGAAGTATATTTCATACTTTTGGTTTGGGAAATATGATTGTTTCTCTTGGAACAGATTGTTCATTATAACAATATTTATAATATATGCCATGTACTGCAGAGATAGATGGAAATGAAATTAATTTGGCTCAGATGTGATCTTTGTTTTGCTTAGGAGGATTTGAAATATCTTTTCAGAGATTTTAAATTTCCATGTAATTTAGGAATGAAAGAGGTTCTAAAACGTGTTAGTCTCTCTTGCCAGTTGACACAGTTACCATGGTTTGTGATGTTCTGAGGAAGAGTAGCAAACTAAAAAAACTATATTTGAAATTAGGGATTGATAGTACTGACATAGAAGTTATGTTTAATTATCTGTGCTCATGAAGCAAATTAAAATATCATATTTCAAAAAATATGCCTTGTCTTGTAGGTTGCCTATCAAATTGGTAAATATTCATTGGCCAAGAAAGCCTTTGCACCAGTTTGGGATTATTTTGTCTATACTCCTTCTCCAGCAAATACATCCATTATTTCTTTAAACAGCATGTTAACTATTACACCACACAGGTAATTGGAAAAATATTTTTTAAAATATAGATTTAGCTATTGTAGATGTCATTCTTTGGGATGAGACTGTTCAGTGGTTTATTGTAATTTTAACTTTAAAGATGTTTCTTAATGCATATATTTGGCATACAATAATTGTTACATATGGAAAACAGTTATATTTGTATTAATTAATATCTGCAATGGCAGTTATATTTATGTAATTAGCAGTTATATCTATTATATATGCATTCCAAGGAGACACTTGTTTTGTTAGAAACTTCATTATGAGAATGAGAAATAATGCACGAAGCATGGAGAAGCATTAGAAAGTCAAATGGGGACATCTGAGTATCAAAATATCATTAAATATTAATGAGAATAATGCCTAATGTGGCAGAAAATGCAAAATATGTTTCTGGGAACCCCAGGGAGGGGGATGAGGAAGGCTGTTTTGTGGTTAGGTAGACTTGTGTTAAGGTGACAAAGAAACAATTACTTTCTCCCTACTTCTAAGTAGCTCCAAGGACTGGGTCTCCAGGACCTGAAACCAGGGTAAGTAGGATATATTTGCTTCTCCCCCTCCTGGCTACCATTTATCTTTAGGGATGGTCCAGGAGAAGGTGAAATGTGATTTCTGGCATGCTGATAACTTTTGTGCCTTTAAGTAGGTACATATGTCATCTCAGTCCACAATTATATATAAAAGACTTAAAATTCAAAGAGCTGTTGAGGTAACTTCTTGCCTGACTCTCATTCTCATAATTGAATTGCAAATTGTAAAGTAATAAGAGTAACTAATGGCTTTTGATAGGCAATGTGGTGAAGCAGTAGAGTGCTGGCCTTGGAGTCAGGAAGACCTGGGTGACAGAGAAAATGGAAGAGTTGGGGTTTGGGAAGGAGAGAGGGTCACTGGGACAGAGACTTCTAGGGCAACAGTGTACCACACAGATACATCTGGGTAGAAGACAAGTGAAGCATGCCTAGCTAAGATGGACTAGAAGGAGAGAGTTGTCAAGAGAGTAGAGATCATTTCAGGAAGAAGGAGCAGGGCCAGTGGGAATTATGGAGGAGGTGAGAGGGAGGAGCTGAAGAACAGGAACTTGTGGTCAGAGAAGTTTGCAGCTTAGCCTTTCACAGGTGGAGTGAGGTCTCAGTGCTACTGTATAAGTGGGTTGTGAAATGGGATGGAAATGGAAGTCACTGCAGGTGACTGGAGGTCATGGACCTGTGAGCCTGGCATGGTAGAGGACTCAACATGGATGTTGGAATCATGAGGATGTTGTTAGGAGATGGAGTGGAAGACGGATGACCTAGGTGCTGACGTCATTGAGGAAGCTGGGGAAGGATTAGTTAGTGTGGTAGCAAGTGACTGAGATCAGAATAGTAAAAGGAAATGAGCAATATACAGATGGCAAGATTAGGAAGGTGAGAGGTGACTGAATGAGAAACAAACATCTGAAAGCAGCAAAAGGTATGCCCAGCTCCCCTCTTGTTCTACTGCTTCAGGGAAGAAGAATAGGAAACAAGTAATAGATTTTGAGCAATCCATCCAAAACCTGGACCGCTTATATGAAAAGTTCACCACCTATAGGCTCCCTCCTCCCCAAATTCTGCAAAGGATTTTGCATATGTCTGGAGAGTGTCATTGAAAGATATGTCATTGACAGCCAGGTTTTTAGGAGGTGGAAGGAGTATTGAAGGATATGGAAGAGTTTGTTCACAGGAGAGAGAAGGTTCTCTAAATAACATAGTCAAGTGGGCTGTGTGTTTGTCACCCAGTACAGGTGTCTTACACACAACATAGACCTCTTGTAGTGGATACCCAATGAGTATTTGTTGAAATCTGATACTTGACAGCCATCATTAACCTAGTATACATGTTGGACCAGGTTATGTTTTTTTCTTTTATTTATTTATTTTAAAATTTTCTTTCTTTCTTTATTTATTTATTGGGTAGGCAGTGGGGTTAAGTGACTTGCCCAGGGTCAAACAGCTAGTAAGTGTTATGTGTCTGAGGTCGGATTTGAACTCAGGTCCTTCTGAATCCAGGACCGGTGCTCTAACCACTGTGCCACCTAGCTTCCCCTCAGGCTGTGTTTTTACCATGTAGTCACCCTCTCCTTGCTTTTGCATTTTGTAGGTTATATACAGATACCTTGTCAGAGTCTTCATCAGTGCTTTTATACCATTTCCTCAGATGTGTTTTTGTAATGAGTAGCATTAATATTGTGGAACAAAAGCTCTTCTGTGACGCCATTAGGGGAAATGAGGTTTTCACCTGTCAACAAGTAAGTAGATTCAAATGGTAGCACAATGTCCCTAATGTGAAAAATGACCTTGGTTTTCCATTCTTTGTAGCCTGAAGTTCCACCATTTAACCCAACAATGATCAACCATAGCCACTTCTGGGACAGAAAGCTTCTAATCTATAAGTCCTCAAGAATGGTCAGGGACAAAGTTGCTCTACCATGTTTACTGGACATGCAGGTCTCATAGGCTTATGTTCCAGCAAATAAGAAAATCAGTTTCCCAGAAGAGATGGAAGAAGGCATTACCCCCTCCTCCCACTCCTTTGGAGAGATGGGAGTCCATTGGTTTGGAACACTGCATATAATGTCAGATTTGTTGACTGTAGTCAAGAATGATTATGAAGGAAAAGTCAAGAAGCTGCTAGAATTAATGGAAAATTCTGAAAATGGAGGAAAGAAGGATCTGACTTTTTTTTTCCTTCTCTTCCCTTTTTTTCTTTAAAAAAATTTTTTTTGTTATAAAAATAACCTTTATCTTATAACCCTTTTGTTATAAGAAATAACCTTCTCCCTGTGGGAAGGAGAGGAGGGGAAAGAAGATATAGGGCAAAATCAAGGCAATTTAAAGATAAAAGATACAAATAAAAACCCATTAAAAGAAAAAAAGAAAATCAGCTTACTAATCCTTACTTCTTAACAATCAAATAATGTTTTTTAAAATTTTAAAATTTTAGCTGATCATGACCCTTGGGTGCCTTTCTCTCTCTCTATTTTATTTACCCCCATATGGAAATTGTGAATTTTTGTTGTTTGTTTCTTCCTGGCCTTAAACATCATCCTCTAGTCCCTACTGAATTACACTTTTTTCTTTTGAACAGCTAGGTGGTGCAGTGCATAGAGTACTGGGCCTGGAGTTAGAAAGACCTGAGTTCAAATCCAGCACTGTGCCCCTTTGCGGTCCTTGGCTGCTCCCAAATTTGGTTTTTCTTCTAAACAACAACTAAGGAGTTACTGAACTGCTAGGCTCTCTTCTTTTCCTTGGAGTTGAGCGATTGAAGAAGCAGATATTGTGGTTCAGTAATAATGTATTTTTTTTCCCTTTTTTAAACAGGCTGTCAGACTAGCAGAATGTCAGAGAATGCTAGTGGCAATTGAACTTAGTACCCACTTAAATGATTTGAGTTATTCCCTACAAGCTGTCGTTCAGTGCTATGGTCTCCTGGCTCCTCTAATCTTTCACAATATTGTTCTGGTGCCAGCAATCCAGGTAAGAGCAGCTAATGATGGAGAGATGTCTTTGGTGGGGGGAGATAGAGGTAGTGTCTCCTTTGTAGGATGAAAGTTGGCCAGGAACAGGAAGGAGCCTGGTGATGGTGTGTGGCATGGAGTGAAGGATGGAGAGAATGGAAGAGGGAAAAACGTCCAGGAGCTGAGGCAGGAAGTGACTTGCCCTTGGCCATGTGGCGAGTTAACACATAGGACCATGTATAGATTATTAGGGCATTCTGAATTCCTCCCATGTGGTTTTCCCAGACTTCAAATTTTACCTTAACCACAAATAGCTCTTTGCCATGTAGTATCACTTTTTTCCATTGAAAGAAGGCATACTTGTGTGTGCTCAGGCTAGACCCAGAGAGATTGGTTTCTACTACAGGCTGCTATGAGGGTCTGGGTAAATCAAGGTCTGAGTCAAAGCAAAATATGGCTTGATGTCCTTGAATGTACTTTGTAGTCCCTTGTGAATTGGTACTTCTCCAGTCTAGCAAATAGAGAGTGCTGGTGCAGGGGGTCTGAGGAGGGCTTCAACCAATTTGATATTCAAAATGGCATCCTGAGAGTAGAGGAGACTATGACTCCGACAATGCGCCCTCTCCCTAAGGTTTGGAGGATCATATGATCATGAAACCTGAAGTGCTGGAGAGGATTGTAGAGGTGATCAAGAATTTAGCTAATGCCTGAGCAAGAATCCCTCCTACAAATGGTCCAAAAAGGAGTCATTCAGCTCTGTTTTGTGTCTTCAGAGATGGGGAACAGTAAAAAAAAGAAAGAAAGTGAGAGCCTTTCTGGGCAAAGAAATCCACCTTTATTTAAGAAAGCGGAGGTAGTGGTTTGTACTCCATTCAGTATAGTCTGAGACCCAACCTATAGGACTCATAAATATTTATAGTTTTCTTGATTCTTGTTTGATTGAAAAAAAGGCTGCTGTTAGGCAGATCTGTTCTCTTTGACCTCAAGCAGGCTCTTGTGAAAAAGGAGGTCCTTCTCCACAAGGAACTCAGAGTAAACAATTACATTTTAATATAAAGATGATAATGGCCAAGACAATTAATAGTCACACGCTATTATAATGATTACAGTGACACTGTTACATTCCTTCTAATGATTACAGTCACACTCCTTAGGTTAACTAACACAGAAATTTTGCTGACACTACATCACAGTTTGGTTATACATAGGTTTTTTCTACCTGGAACTATGTCTTTACTGTACATCACATAGTTATTTCTTATCCTAATGGTTATAGCTGACACATGATCACAGAACAAAGATTTCAAGGCATTGATTATTGATTTTTCCCATTTCAGAAATCACTTTTTCTGTCCATTCTATTTTTGGACACCTCTGATGGTTGGGAAGATTTTCCTTATGTTGAGCCAAAAATCTGATTCTCTGCAGCTTCTACTTGGCATCCCCGACTTTAGTCCTCTGGAATCAGAGAAAATAAATTTAGTACCTTGTATAGGATCACAAGGAAACTAAATGTATCAAAATATAGACCAAATAGTAATAGCTGTCTCTATCCAGGAAAGTTGTCGGGGTCCAGTCAAATCACTGTGATAGCCCAGTGAGAGTAGTGGACATATTCGACCATACTGGTAGAGCCAGTAGTTGGCAGTGTCTAGCTTTGGCAGGCCTTCAAAAGTCCTGCTGTGGTGTGTCTCTTAATTATTTAAAACAAAGTCTGCTGACAGGAATAGGGTGGCCCAGCCTGGATGTCACAAGCGTCCTTATTACAAAGTAAAGCCCCAGTTAAAGTTTTAACTCCGGCTATGCTGTCCAGCTCATCAGAGGGGCTAGCCAGTGAGCTTCTCAGAGAGCTTCATTGGCTGGCTACCATCATGACTCTTGTCGATCTGCTGCCATGGCTCTGCGATGGTGTTCCCTCACTGCCACTGGTTCTTGATAATAAAATGTGAGTTCTTGGGTCACAAGATGCAAAGTAAAGATTATAGAAGGAAAACTGAGCTACTGGTTGATTTTCCTGCTATGATACTGAATTGATTTAATTTTAAAAACCTACAATTCTCAATGTACAACATCAGTGTAATATTTCCCATTTTCGGGCTTTACAATTTGCATATGTTGAGTAGGACATTTGTTTACAGATGATCTTTATATGGAGTTTTTTATAACACCATGCTTTTGTTTTTCAGATCCTAATTAAGTGTTTGGTAGTTCTGCAAGAAATCCCAAATGTTAATTTTCCCAGGAGACAGATGGGGAATTTTGAAAGTATCCAGCATATGATTGCGTGTTCTGTTTATTACACAGCAAAGGTACTCATCTGGTGACGTGACCCAGGGTCCAAGAATTGAGAACACATTGAGAGAATGAGAAATCTTTTCTGTAAGGTGCAGTTAGATCCCGTGATGTTCTTCAAAGTGTAACAAATGACACTTCCTGTCACGAAATCAAACAATCTGATTAAAATGCTTCTGACATTGTCCAAGTGACCTACTTCTAGATAGAATATTAAAGAGAAAAAAATGTACAGGGTGAAATGATGAATCTTCTGACAAGATGCAGCTGATCTTGTGATACTTTTCCAAGTAAAACGTTCATGTTTTAAAAATGATAACTGCGTGTCAATACCAGCACTATATATAAGCATACAGATTGATTTTTTGGAGCTTGTAATCTTGAGAATATCTTCTTATATTCCCTATGATCATAATCTACTTGTTTGTCCCAACTGTAGATGGAAGTTGGTGAAGAAACTGACCAGGGGATGCTGAATCTGGGCATTGAAATACTGGGCAAGAGGCTGGAGCAGGGCAGCAGGAGTGGGAGGGGGTCCATCCATAAGCCTGGCTTTGGTGCTGAACTGGCTTCTCCTGATGCCCAGAACTGGGCTTAGTGTGTGGTTCGAGTTAAAGCAAGACAAGTAGATGGACTTAAGCATTAGTGGGACCTGTTCCTTTTGAGTTTTGACACCATTTGTCTAGAACGAGGGCTCTCAATCTAGAATCAACACACTTCTAAAACATATTCTCATAACTATGTTTCAATATAACTGGTTTCCTTTCTAATTATCTGTATTTTATGCATATAACAATGATAATAATAATAGCCAACATTTATGTGACACCTACTATGTAGATGCTGCGCTAATAATGAGAATGATGATGGTGTCAATGATAGCTAGTATTTATATAGCGCCTACTATATTCCAAGTACTATGGTAAACGTCTTGCAATTATTATTTCATTTGATCCTCACAATAACCCTGCTAGGCAGGTGTTGTTATTATCTCCATTTTATAGATGAAGAAACAGAGGCAAATAGAGGTTAAGTGACTTGACTTGCTAGTGAGTATGTGAGGCTGGATTGGAACCCAGGAAGATGAGCTTTGGCCCGCCTAGCTGCCCCCATTTAAGCACATTGTTCTGAGAAGGCATCCATAGACTTCATGAGATCACTCAAGGGGTCCAGGACACCAAAAAAGTGAATACCCCTTGTACTAGAAGGTTAGATAAGAGTTCTGGACTCTAGAGATATCTCTCCTCCTGTGGGAGAAGCAAGAGAGGAAGGGGAGAGGGAAGAAGGAGACAGCAGGGAGGACATGGGTCAGGAAACTTGTTGGAAGCAATAATTTTGACAGGAAATGTTACTTTTTCGTGATAGGAGGATTCAGGTGCTCCCCCCCACCAAGAACCAGTTATATCTGTTTGGTCTTACTGCTATCATCTTGCTTAATATAGTGGTTATGCAGAATAGCAAAGGACTGAGTTTAAGAGGTCTGATTATCCTTCCTCTTCTCCCTCTCACTTTATTTTTTTCCAGTCCTGTGATCTCATTGATACAGGGAGCTCCCAGCGAGGAAACTCCCCCTACCAGTGGAGTTTGGCACCTTTTCTGCACTTTATAGCTTTAGAAATTGGCCAGGCTAAATCGGAAACTATGGAGGCACAGTGTATAAAGTTCTCTATCTTTCTCAAAGTGAAGGTGATCTTGTTCCACAAAAGGTTTCAAATACATAAAAAAGCAGACATTTGTATAATGTTTTAAGTTTGTAAAGCACTTTACACAAATTACCTAGTAAACTCCTTGAAAGCAGGAACTGTCTTTTGTCTCTCTTTGTATCCCCAGTGCTTAGTATAGTGCCTGGCTCATAGTAGGTGCTTGATGTTTATTTATGATTATCTCACTTGAGCTTCAAAACAACCCTGCAGAGAGATGCTTATAGCTGTTATTATCCTCATTCTATGAAAAGTTAAATGCCTTCCCCATAGTTTCACAGATAATGTCAGAGGCACCATGTGAATCCAGGTCATCCTAAATCCAAGTCTAGTATTCCATTCATTATGCTAAGTTGCCTCTCATTATAGACCACGGAATTAAAACTTCTGCATGAATAGACACTAATTAGCACACAAGGATCCCCATGGGTCATATATTGATGTAGTTTTAAAATATGTTATGTCTTAATGTCTTTTTATTTATTTTGTTAAATATTTCCCAGTTACATTTCAGTCTGGTTCAGGCCACACTTGGGAGTGTTGTGGGCCACATAAGGCTTGTAGCTACCTTATATTTGATACCTCTGTTCTAGACCCACTTTGGCCCTTCTTGGAGCCTTGTTCTTTGTAGGAAGATTAAAATGGTCAAGCCCAGTTGGGACTCATTTGGTTTTCTTCCATTTTCAAGGATGTAAAAAATTGTCATCCTCTTTAGATTTCTCAAATTGTCCTTTCAAAGTGGCAATGGATTTTGGAAAAGTTGCTAGAATTCCAGATGAAGGGGCAATCCTGTGATCCACCTTCTTTAATTTTTTCATTAATTTTGTTATGGCACTTTTCACATTCTGGGAATGCTCAGTCTGAATGCCTTGTTATTGGTTTCTCTTCTTTAGCTACTGAGAGGCAGGTGTGGAATAGATGATAGAGATCTGGCCTTGGAGCCAAAAAGCCCTGGGTTCTATCTCTCCTCTGTGTGACTCTGTGCCCTCAGCAGCACTCTAGGACTAAAAATTTCAGGAAGGATATTGACTAGGAATTTTCTTATCCAGAAATTCTTAATACTGATGAAATCACAGGTTATCCTTGGTGGATACATGAAATATCATTTTATATATATATATATGTATATATATACATATATACATATATATGTATATACATACGTACACACACACACACACACAAATACACACACACAGTGAAATCCCCAGGAACTTCATCTAAAGAGGAAATCTCCCTCAACATTCACACAACCTTTCACTACTACATGCTAAAAGTAAGGGGGAAGAGAATACCACATGTCATAAAAATCAGGCCCCAGATAATGTTGGCAAGTAACAAGTGAGGGAAATAGAAATCATCTAATCTCTGCCTTTTAGCATAAAACGTTTTTTTGCTGCATTGGTTGTTGTTTGCCTCAACTTTCCTAAAACTGGTGTTAACGACAATGATTCAACAATTCCACGATTGGCCCATTTCATAATGAGCTTGTGATTGGCAATCTGTACTCACCTGCCCTTGAAGACGTCCTTCCTTCATAGTTTGATATGGAATAGAAGGAAGAAAATTTGCACTCTGGGTGAATCCTCTTAGGTTTGCATGTCATCAGGAATTTTCCCAGTGGCACAGAAAGCTCCCTCTGTCTATGCTGCTCCCGTCAGCGCCTCAGGGATAAGCTCAGAGACGTCTTCTCCAGTCACTTTGCCTAGCACAATTTATAGGCAGTCATCCCCTTTTCAGTCTGAGAAGGAGTCTGGTGCAGGGGTTCAGGTTAAGGCTCTGCAACAGGGAAGCATTATCTCCCTATGTGTGTCTGAGCTTTGCATTTTCACTGAAATGCAGAGGAGAATTAGGCAGTCCCCTTTCATACTACCTTCTAAGTCTTTACTAAGCGTTTCTCCCTAAAACTTTACAAAATGAATAGGCAGCTGGATGATATCGCTGATCTCAGAGTCAAGAAAACCTTAATTTGAAGCTTGCCTCAAATACTCATCAACTTTGTGACCCTGGTTGTTACTTGTTGTTCATTCGTTTCAGTTGTGTCTGACTCTCTGTGACTCCATTTGAGGTTGTCTTGCCAAAGATGCTGCAGTGGTTTGCCATTTCCTTCTCCAGCTCATTTTGCAGATGGGGAAACTGAGTCAGACAGGGTTAAGTGACTTGTCTAGGGTCACATAGCTAAGAAGTGTCTGAGGTCAGATTTGTGTTCAGGGAGATGAGTCTTCCTGACTTCAGGCCCTGTGCTCTATGACCTTGCACATTCCCCAAATTCTGATTCAATTTCCTCACCTGTAAAATGGGGATAATAATTTCTTCTGTCTCCCAGGGTTGTTATAGGATCAAATGAGATAAAAATTGGAAGTGAGTACTTTGCATACCTTAAAGCACCATATAAATAAGGCCCATAGAAGTGATTACTTTTAGCAGAATCGAGTCCAGAAGGATGTGTCCTGCTCAAGGACATAAAAAACATTCAATGAGGTTCTATTCCATAAAGTCATACAGATTAGCTTTCATTGATTGTCGACAAATGTAATCAGGGGCTGAATTCTTGGACAACTTGTGTTTGTCAGTAAACTTGATCTTTTAAAACATGTCATCACTGCATGCCAGTGGGCTCTCACACTTCCAAAATTCACGGGTCTTCTAAAGTTTTGAAAAAAAAAGAAAATGATGCATGTTACTTGAAAAGATCCAGGTGCATCCCTCAAAGGTAATTAATACCTGTTTTTTTTTTTTTTCAGGTGCTGCGTTCCTGGAAGGAATTCGACCTTGCAGTGATAATTATAAATTTCGGGAAAAAGTTGCTGGACACCTCACAAGGGCTATTTTCAAATGTCGGTAAAGCTTCCTTTGGTGATGATGAGCAAGAAGATGTGACAGAGGAGGTGATTGTTTTATCTTCCATTTTCCCTTCATACAGGTGCTTTCTTGGGTGTTTATACAGGACATGTGATAGTTGGGAGAATGCTGGTAATAGTTTGAACATACATTATGTATATAATATGGACAGGGCAACTTTCCTTCTTAAAACTGGATGCTGATTTTTAGTTTGGGTTTCAGATATAAATATACACACACACACGTATATATACATATATACGTATCCATATCTATATACATCGTTTTGTACACACGTATGTATATAATCTGCACATGCTTCTACATATATGCACACACATATATGCATGTGTTTATATGTGTGTGCGTGTATGTATAGAGGACCTTAGAGACCATTTTACAAGTGAGGAAACTGAGGCCCAAGGAAATGAAGTGACTTGTCCAAAATCACACTGATAGTAAGTGGCAAAGCCAAGCTTCAGTATGACGTTGCAAACCTGTAGCAATTTCTACTCTTCCATGCTACAGAAATCTCCTTCAGCACTAGCTCTAGCTCTCTGATCCTGTCATCAACCTGGGCCTCAGTTTCCTCACCCGTAAAATGAAGGTGTTAGACCAGATGGCCTCCAAAGTCCCTTCCAACTCTTGATTTAGGATCTGATTATCCTCTATGTCAGGGATGGGGAAGAATGTTTGTTTTTTTTTTAATTGGATGGGAGATTAAATGAAATTACCTCAAAGGGTATGTCTTTCAGTTCTTGAGTACCCTAGGTCCAGCAGAGTCAGTGAGAACAGCAATAGCAGACCTGTTGTCAATTCTCTTAGGCATGACCATTTTCACTCTGGATTACTGAAACTTAATTTGGGCTCTCCAGTTCTTTCACACTGGACAACTGATTCTTGTAAGCTATTTCCTTAAGCAGAGGGTTTCTGTTAAGAAACAAGCTGTAATGATGAACAAAGACATGCACCGGTGTCATTAAATTTGTTGTCTGTGTTCTTCCTGTACAAAGTATACATTGAACTGGCCAGAGTTGGCCACTTGATTGAGAAGTTGGCCTCTTAGCCTGGAATCACTCATCAAAAGCACACAATAAGTTTTGGGACAGATCGGGCCATTAGTTCATTGGTCCATTTTTGGCAAAGGGTGTGTAAAATAGCCGATGTCTGTATTTGAGTTTTTAAAATTTTATTTTTCTGTATCAATACCCTTCATGGGTACTGGATTAATTGGATAAATTGGATAAAATCAAGTATTTCGAAAAGACAGAAACACAAAGTGCTTTCTTACCTCTTTGTTTTGTAAGAAGGCATTTATGAATGGAACAGGAAATGTTTTTTTTTAAAAAGCAACTTTTCATTTCTCTATTTACATAAACCAGTATTCTCTGTTTCATTAGTCACATTGTCACTTAAAGGAGAATATGTGAGCTCTCATACTCATGACCTCAAATAGAAATCACTTATGAATGGCATGCAATCAAATCTAAAAATTCTATCTCTAATTTTGTTAGGCTTAGAAAAAAATGACTTGAAAATGTAAGCTTTTGAATAATCAGCCTTATAATTTAGTGTTATTATTATCAGTCATTTTGAAAGCATTTTATTGCAAGGATACCACCAAATCTTTGTTTAAGGTGAAGGGTTCCCCTGTTGCTAAAAGCTGGAGATCGATAGAGTTAAGCTATGTACATTGTAGCCTCCTAAGTCTTAATTTCATTTGCGAAATACAAAAACCAGATTTTGAAGATATGTTCTCTATTTGGGGGGGGCAGAATGTTTAGCGGTAGAGTGTGACTGACGTTTCTAATTCTCTGCAATGTTGTGGTCATAGGGCATCCCCACTAAGAAAGTGAAGAAGTCCAAGGGACAGATTGTCATGCTGGACAAAATCAGTGAACAACTCAACCTCATGGAAACGCAGCTGCTCAAACTGACGAAACAAAGTAAGAGCTTTCTTGCTTTCCCTGCGCCTCTGCTTTACTTTCTTTTCATATTCAGGGATCCTCTCATCAAAGACATCAATGAGCAGCATCTGGGAAGGGCACTGGGCAATGGGACTGTACATAAGGGGTTTTATTTGAACAGAAACTGTAGAAAAATGACCGGGATTGTTCTCATCTGATAGCAGGCCAAGGTCCCCAGCCCAGTCCTGAACGTTTCTGTTGCTTGGTTGTTTCATCTGTGTCTGACTCTTCATGACCCCATTTGGGGATTTCTTGGCAAAGATAAAGGAGTCGTCTGCCATTTATTTCTCCAGCTCATTTTACAGAAGAGGAAACAGAGGCAAACAGGGTTAAGAGACTTCCCTAGGGTCACACGGCTAGTAAGTATCTATAAAGCTTAGAAAAGGCCAGATTTGAATTCAGGAAGATGAGTCTTCTGACTTTTGGCTTGGCACTCTATCTACTTCACCACCTATCTGGCCAAAAGATAAAAAATAAATGCTTATAAAGTACTTTTTGTTGTTCAGGTATTTTAGCTGTGGCTAACGCTTTGTGACCGCATTTGGTTTTCTTTTTTGGTGAAGGATACCAGAGTGGTTAACCATTTTCTCCTTCAGCTCATTTTGTAGGTGAGGAAACTGAGGCAAACAGGATTAAGTAGCTTGCCTAGGGTCACACAGCTAGTAAAGTCTGAGGCTGGATTTGAACGTGAAAATGAGTCCTCCTGATTCCACATTCAGTACTCTATTTGTCTTATTTGGAGGGGGCAGAATTTTGTTTTTTTCCTGAACAGAACAGAGTTGTGGACTTGCCAGACGGCACACTAAGCCTCTAACAGGGTGTGAAGGAATGAAATGGAACCGACGCTCTAGGGACGAGGGCTTTTCTGAGCTACTTTTGTGGGGCTGGAGCAGCCATTAGGAGAGTTTAGGTGAACTCACCTGGCCTTGGGAAGGCAGCGAGCCCCTGGGGAAGGGACTGTGTGCATTGGGTGCCCAGTACGTTAGAGGTGTGACCATGGGTACACATGGCTGTCATTCTCCTTCTGGGCCCACTCAATCGTCGTGTCTTCTGTGCCTGACTGGACTGCGTCTCAGTGACCTGTTTCTCCAAGTTGTCTTCTTTTGTCTTTTTCTCTTCCTTCATTTGTTGACATGGTGGATGGAGTGGCTAGAGGGCCAGCCTTGGAGGCAGGAAGATCTGGGTTCAAATTCTGTCTCTGACCTCTGCTGGCTGTGTGACCAGAAGCAAGTTACCCAACCTCTTCCTCCCCCAGGCAGCTGACTAAAGGGGGAGGTAGAAAGGAGTTGCTGGTCCTCATCAGTGGAAGGAGCTTCCCTACCTGGGAGTTTGATGCAATGAAGTCACAGCTTTGAACTCCTGTTCCCGCCCCCCCCCACCCCCACTGTCTATCGTCCTTTTCAAGTTAAACTTGGAGCCAGTGTTCTCTCTTCTCCTCTTCTTAGTCGTCAAAGAACCCAGAGCCTTTGCTCTCATTATACTCTATAAAAATAAATAAAAACACCTTGAAAATATAATGCATTTAATTAGACATATATTTTTGGATATGGCCGATGAGGAATTTGTGTTGCTTAACCATGCATATTTGTTACAGGTTTGGTTTCTCTTTCTTTTTTTCCATGATGGAGGTGGGAGAGAGAGAGAGAGAGAGAGAGAGAGAGAGAGAGAGAGAGAGAGAGAAAATAATTGCTTGTTAATTGAAAAAAGAAAATTTTAAAAAATTAATTGCATTCTAGAAATAAGAATTAATCACAGTTGCAATATAAATAAAATAAAATTCTAATTAGGTACAATAAAGCCTTATTTTTTCCTACAGTTATAGTAAATGGCACTTATGTAGCCTTTTAACGTGTATCAAGCTCTTTACACATATCTCATTTGAATCTCCCAGCATTCATGTGAGTTAGGTACCACAGATAGTATTACCCTCATTTTACAGACGGAGAAACAGAAGATGAGAGAGGATAGATGATTTGCCTGTAGCCCCCTAGCAAGTAAATACTAGAGCTAAGCCTCGACTTCAGGTTCTCCTGGCTCCATGTCCTGTCTTCTATTCTTTGGGTCACACTGTCTCTCCCTTGTTGTGTTAAAATCTATGTTATTATAATTTTGGGGCTTAAAATCTATGTTAAGCAAAGTGTTATAATTTTGGGGCTCCTATGTTTTGTGTTCAGTTATACACATCTGTTATTGAACAGGGTACTACATTTCCTTAAAACATTTCACTTAATATAACTGCAGACTGTCTGATATTCTGAAAATAATAGATTTTACTATCGAAAAACTCATTGGGTTCTCTTTGTCTCCAAAACTCTCATGATAGAAGATTATACTTTAAAGCACATTATGTAGAATGAAAACACCTGAGTTTTTCTTCTCTGTCACCCCAAGACATAATTTATCCATCTTTGTTTTTGTATTACTTAGAATATTCAACTTCATGTTTGTTTGTTTGATTGAATTTAGATCCCTATGTTGAACTCACAGGAGCAGAAGATCCCCTTTTTCTCTACCCTATAATTTTAACTTGGACACTCAGAGGTGCCACGAAAGAAGGTAAATACCTTTTGGTTCCTTATCATTCATTTTGTGGGCTTAACATTCCTGGGTTTGCTCTTGGTTTCATTAAACAGAAGGGACTGTGGCCAACAGATACCAGATGCAAAGGCTTGGGGGGCCTCCATGGGGTCACATTTTGATAATGACTTTTGCTGTTGAGCATCTGGGCACCAACAAGAGCCTTTCTACAATCTTCTTCCAATAGTCTTTAAATCATATTTAGCATCATCAATGCTTAATTTCTCACAAAAAGTATCAAGCTGATTCAAAGGATAGGCATCCTTTTCTTACCTCCTTCAGCCAATCATATTGTGAATAAAATCCTTAAGAGTATTTTTTCATGGGCTGATCTCATTGATGTGTTTAGAAAGTTAATGATGGAAAGTAACAGCTTGTTTGACCTCAGACAGAGTATCGCCTAAGTCATTTACTCTTGTAGGTTTTCTGCAGAATGAGAAATCTAAAAAGTAAATTCATAAAGTAGCTCATGATCAACAAAATGGTTTCATAATGATGTGTTGACTTCTATTGCTTATACAGTAATGAAATTCAAGAATAAACCTCGTTTTCTGGAATTCTTTGTTCAAGTTATGACAAAATGTATTCATGAAGAGAAATTTAACTATGTGGTGGACATGTCATATACTGTTCAAAACTTCCTAAAAAGGTACTTGTAATGTCAATATTGAGAAATCTAACCCTTTTGTTGAATTTTTCTTGTGGGTCATAATTGTGGATCTTGCAAACTAATGTTTGATCACCAGAACAAGGAAATCCTTTTCCCAGACAAGATGTTGAAGCCACGAATTAATTCAGAGATTTTCATTTGCTTTTTTTCTATTTTCAGTAATCATTTATTAAATGCCTAATATATACTAGACATTGTGCTAATGCATAACGTCACATAATCCATAATCTAATAATGCCTAATTTATATGTATAAATAATATAATGCAATAATAACACATAATCTAATAATATATAATTTTTCAACAAACTTTCATCCTTGCTTCTTGAGTAGTAAAAATCTTTCTATAGCCCACTGAATTTGTATGACCAGGAGTACAATAGCTGAATGTCTATTAATTTCTGTTGAAATTCCTTGGATAAATTAAATGATTGGTGGCATTTTTTAGGCCCATAATCCCTTTCCAGTCAAATTCCTTGTGTGTTCTGATAGATCAGAATACTTTGGGAGCAATCATTTTGCCTTAATATTTATAAGAATACATCAACAAGACATGTATAGTTTTCCTAATTTAACTCCTTAGATTGTGACTAACGTATTATTTTTTGTATTAAGAGAATTGACAACTTTATTTCTGTATTAGGAGAAATGACAACTATCTTGGAATAAAGAAAGTTTCAGGTACAGACAGTACTTCAGCTAATGAAGACCCAAAGAAGTACAAGGCAACTGCCATGGAGATTCAAAAAGTAAATCTCACGTCTTTTTTTTCTCATTTTAAAAGAAACAATGAGAACTTGAACAACAATTCTCTCCTTTATTTAGTCCTAAGAGCAGTTTATGAATACAATGGAGAAAATCCAAAGATTTTCCTACCATAAAACTTGCTTTTGAAAATAAAATAAAATATAGCTTGCAACATCAAAAGGGAAGAGTTGCTAAATCTATTTAAATTCACAATAGGTATATATATTTCTTGAAGTGACACTTTTATAACTAGTGTAGGTATAACATTATCATTATGTACAATAATACATAGCAGTGTTTCTTTTGTTGACGTGGTAAATAAGCTTAGTTCTGAATTTCTCCTTCCTTCCTTCCTTCCTTCCTTCCTTCCTTCCTTCCTTCCTTCC